TAGAAGGCTTCAAAAAACAATAGCTACCATGCAGGAGGTATGTGGGTGGTTGTGTGTGTGTGTAAGAGAGAGTGTGTGAGAGAGAGAGAGTGAGAGAGAGAGAGAGAGAGAGAGAGAGAGAGAGAGAGAGAGAGAGAGAGAGAGAGAGAGAGAGAGAGAGAGGGGGTGGAAGGGGCGAGGGTATGGATAGGTTATTGGGGGAGCGGGTGGTGATGATTCGGTACATTGGTTGATCTGTTTTTTCCCGCTCTTTGTTCCTGTTTTCGGAGTGTGTGTGTGTGTGTGTGTGTGTGTGTTATGAACCTGGTTGTTTTCTGTCAGAAGACCAACACTCACTCACATAGACTTCCAGGTATGCCCATAGATACGCAGAAGGAAGGGAAGAGGATGGGAGTATCACACCGCATGGGAGAGAAACACAGCGGAAGACTTGACCATTCGATATGACAGAAAACACTGAAAGTGCAATTCGCTCCACATAATCCTCACAACCAGTCACAAAGGAAAGCCAAGTAGATCATATCCAGGAAACAATGAAGCAATTATAATCCACACACAGTATTCACACTGTTTATTAAACTCAGAGTCTCGAAATGTCAGAATAACCTCAGAACCATGGTGCGCTGCTCAGGAATGAAGAAGCACTTCACTCCCCAACCCTGAGTAACTGCTATTACTACCCCTGAGTCCCGGAAACAACCAGCACCACCCTGAAACAGGCCTCTGAGGCCAAGCGCCTCTCAGCAGATGAAGAAGAAGACCAATGCCACAGTCTCCGATGAAGATGCTGTGCCAGGTGTCTTCACGGATGAAGTTCTGCAGCAGCGCCACCTCTCCTGACAAGATGATCTCTGTGGATGAAAGCTGCAGCTATGGCTGCAGCGCCACACACCCTGATAACCTACTCCTGAGGAGGGTTCAGCAGGGCACCAACTTCTCTAGCCTTCAGCAGACTTCAGATAGCCGGTGTGTGCCAGGTGTCTTCACGGATGAAGTTCTGCAGCAGCGCCACCTCTCCGGACAAGATGATCACTGAGGATGAAGGCTGGAGAAGTTGGTGCCCTGCTGAGAGAGAGAGAGCAAGGGGGAAGGGGCGAGGGTATGGATAGGTCATCGGGGGAGCGGGTGGTGAAGATTCGGTACATTGGTTGTTCCGCTTTTTCCCCCTGTGCGCGCGCGCGCGTGTGTGTGTGTGTGTGTGTGTGTGTGTGTGTGTGTGAGAGAGAGAGAGAGAGAGAGAGAGAGAGAGAGAGAGAGAGAGA